AAATATCCATGGATATCCGTGGATATTCAAGAAATTCATGGATACCCGCTTAATGGATACCTGCACGGATATGAGGTGGGTATGGGGCCAATTTTTATTCAACGGGGCGGGGGCGGATTTACTATTACCCGCCCCCATGGGGCCCCATTGCCATCCCTAGTGGTGTCATTGATTCTTGACATAGTGTCATTGATTCCTGATGTACTAACGCGATGTCATTGATTATTAACGTAAAATAATTTTTCTTAATGTGATGAAAAATAGGGTCCAAGTAGGAAATTGATTTTCCCCAGTTGATTTCTCACTTGGGTTGAAAAATGGGTCAGTTTGATAAATAATAGTGAGAGGTTAGTTGGATATATAAAAAAATGATATAAAAAAGTCTAAAATTTGAATATTTGAGTAATTACCATGGGCCATCCGAGTATATTCGTTGAATAACTACTAAAAATCGACAATACTTACTCTAAATGAAAATTCCTTTCTTCATTTCTAAATTTTTTACTAATATATTTTTTTTAAAAAAAATTACCAAAGCACACCCTGTAACACCCCGAATTTTCTACTAATACAATATTAATTATTATTTATTTTTATATTTATGAAGATTATTTTCTTATAGTTATTTTAGTTAATTAAAGGGGTTTTATAGAATATTGTAAAGGTTTGTAATAATTTAAATTATTTATAAAAAAATTAATTCTGGTTTTTTTTAGGCCTAGAACGGGCTGTTCTAAAAAGCGGAACAGGCTATTCCCAAAAGGCAGAATGGGCGTTCCAAAAAGTGGAACGGGTCGTTCCAGGGTAATAAAATGGCCTAAAATTATTAGTTGGAAATGGGTCGTTCCAATTATGGTCAATGTCGGTTAAAATCAACCCCAGAACGGGGCGTTTTGGTTTAAGAACGGACTGTTCTGGTGTTGAGAACGGGCCGTTCCACTTATGATCAATCTGTGTTAAAAGGAATCCCAGAACGGGCCGTTCTAATTTTAGAATGGGCCGTTCTGATTTTTGAAAACAGGTCGTTCTAATTTTAGAACGGGCCGTTCCAGTTGAAAATTTTGCATATAAACGAAGGGTCCAGAACGGGCCGTTCTGGGTACACCTGAATGCCTATAAATAGGAGGCTTGGGGTGAAAAAAATTTATAACTGAGAAGATGAGGATCAGCCACCACAGGTGGAAGCTGAGCTTGGAAGGGAGTCTGAACCAGAACTGAAGCCTATATGGTGGTGTGTGTATAGTTGTTTTTTTTTGCAAATGGTATGGTGTGTGTATAGTTGTTTTTGCAGGTATTGTGCTTGTGTGTGTGCATTGTGCAGGTTGGAATGAATTGAAGGCACAATCGATGAAAATGTTTGAAGCACAATAGCATTGGGTTGATACAATATGAATCATGGGTTGTCATCATCAAAAAAGGAATTGTTGCGGGTTGCATCAATTGTCCCGTGGCGGAGGCTAGGTGGGCCAAGTTGATGGAGTTGTTCCTTCCATGGGTGATGACAATGGTTGAAAGGAGACTCCTTGCCCTTGATCTAGGTTCACCAAGGGGTAGACAAAAGGAAGTTTATGGGACAATAAGGGAGATAGGCGAGAAAGGGAGTAAGGTGGCGGAAGTGTTTAAGGTATGGTGTTTGGTGCTCACATGGTTGGCTCACTCCAAAGGTAAATGAAGGCCACTCTAGGGTTCTCACTCTCCAATGGTGGAGATAGGAGAAGGTTAGCCAAAGGTAACCTAGTGACTAAGGAGAGGATTTGAGGCACAAAAAGGCTCACTCAAATTCATATATTCCAAAGTATTTACAAG